GATGTTGAATGTTTTGAGTTGAAACGTGTATTGAGGTACTAATTTTCAGCCTTAGATTTCATGTGCTTGATTGGTTAAGTTTTAGAGATAAAGGGACTCGTGTATTGTTTTTGTTTTAGCCTTGTTTGGGGATTTATTGGATCTTGTGAATTTGTGCAGTGTTGGATCATTGAGATTACTTGGATTATTTGTGTTATTGGGACTGATTATTATGTGTATAAATTTTGTAAGATTAATTGATGTTGTTTGTTGAAACTCGGATCCTATGGGTTATGTGAATTTTCTTTTTATGATATGTTGATGTTTAAGTTCTAGTTGCATAAGGAAGTTAAAGAGGAGCTTGTTATGTGTTGTGTTGGCCTTGGCTGTCTTGAATTTGCAGAGAATGTTACTATGTTATTATCATGCTACTGAGTTATTTTTAAATGCCAGGAGTTCTGCTTATGATCAACTTATTTGGCCTTGAGAATTTTATTTTGAATTTAGAAGAAAATAGGAGCTTGGTTTGTGAGATAAATGCCTTAACTTGATTGTGTTAACTCGAGGCTGTTGCTATGTTATTTTTGTGTGCTGAAAAGTATGTTAAATATCAGATTTTTGGATCAGCTATAAGGCCTTTATGTTGTGTTTGTGATTTGAGAGAAAAAGGAGGCTTTGTTGTGATCTTTTTGTGCCAAGTTTATATCTACTTTGCTAAGCCTTTAAGTGTGTGCTTCCTTGCTGAAAATGAGATAATTTAGGTACATGTATTATATGAGCTTTAGCAAATTAAAATGTTGTTCATAAGTTGTGTTGTTTTGATAAGTTTTCGAGCCCCTGTTTTGATGTGTTTGCATGTTGAAGTATGAGTTAGTAGAAGTTTTATATGTCCTATCTACTTTATTTTGTTTTAATTACTTGTTTTTATGCTTTACTCGCTCTGTTTGTCTTATTTGGTTGTGTGGCTTAATCAACTGAATTAAAACCCTTATTAACAATTAAACCCCTAATTTGTAGTTTAAGAGGAGTGGAGCCCTCGCGCAATTTCACGTGCATTCGTTCTTCGTGATCGACAATTGAGGTGGGTGTTGATTAACCTTACCATGTTCGTTGTTCTTTATAATTGTTTTGATTGATAATCAATGTATGCGTGTGAACAACTTATCTATCGAGTTGAGCCCTAGTGCAAGTGTGTGCATATCAGTATAGAACATAGCCAGTGAGTTTTATGCAAGAGTGTGTACATATGAGTTTAGGACATGCCAGATTAGATCTCGTGCAAAAGTGTGTGCATATGAGCATAGGGTAAATCGGATTGAGTACCGTACAAGAGTGTGTGCATGTGAGCATAGACAAGAGCGGTCTGGGTCTTGTGCAAGAGTGTGTACATATGAGCATAGGGCGAGAGAGTAGATAGGTGAGGTGATTTTTATTCATGCTGCAATTATGATTTTAAGCCATTATACATTATACTGAATATAATGCATGGTATTCCCACGGTGGACTTGTTGGTTGCTCACCTCCACTATTTTTCCCCCTTTCAAGTTGAGCTGGCGGTCGTGGCACAAGACGGGCGAGTGTGGTTATTATGATTTGTTTATTTGCTTCCGTTATTGTTATGTTTTATCATGTTGAACTCAATATGAACTTGAATTATTTGTATGACTTGAGATTGGATTATTGTCCTGAGTAATACACCATTATTCTGAGACTCGTTTACGAATATGAGATATTGTGTACCTTGGATTATATGGTAATGTGATTTTGCTGAGTGAATTATGTCACGTATGACTGATATTGGGGAACGAGTTCCCAACGGTTTGTGACGATACTAAGCCAAAAGATATATGTTTGAATGTTTGAGTAGTGACCGTTAAATTGAAGACGACTTGCCCGCATATTCTCGGGTAGCTTTACCCCCAATTGAAGACGGCTGCAATTTCTAACGTAGAGTTCAACGGAAGGTACTGAAGTCGAGTGTCACACTCGCAGACTAACGGGATACTAAAGGCACAATTCGGCAAAATTAAACAGAAATAATTCCTCAGAATTTCAATAAGAGATGGTGTAGTGATTTCGGGAGATTTTGAAGGAAATGACAAGGACGACGGAGAGATTGGAAAAATTAGGGTTCAGGCAAAAGGGGATCTGAAAGAGGAAATGGAAAGTGAAGTTCCCGATTTTGGTTTTGTTGATAACAGTGGATCGACATGTGGCACAAGCAGGAGCATTTGATCACTGTTTGAAGGAGGAAATATGGATCGTTCATTTAGCATATTTTTTATGTTTAATTGTATTTCATTTTACTTTAGTTATTTGCCTTTGGGAAAAGAACCAATGCAAGTTGTTTATGGCGATGACCACCATCATTGTATTTAACGTGCCACTTTGAGGCAGAAATGCAACAAGAAAAATTAGTCTTTCTCTCTCTTTTCTGTTATCCCTCCCTTTCTACTCTCCCTATCACCTTCTTCCTCAAGCTATCTAAATTACAGTAATTATCTATTTGGTAAAATACATCAATTAGCAAGGATCCACTACAATTGGTAACCAGAGCCACTGTCTGCATCAAAAAAATGGCAGAAGCAAATCGATTCAAAGACCTGCAAGAAGCCCAGAGAAAATTAGATAGCATCCTGCAAACAGAGAGCCTAAAACGAGATGCAGCAGAAATGAAGATGCAGGATCAAATAAATGACATGAACACAGGTTTCAGCAGCCGCTTAGATCATCTCGCTGATACACTGGCTGCAATTCAGCTGCAGATCCTAAATCCAAAGGGAAATCCACCACACGAGGAATCCATTTTGGGGGAACACCATGGATATTGCAGTATGAAGTTCCTACAAACAACATCATTAGCCCACTTCACAGAATTGAATTCCCAAAGTTTGATGGCTCTCAACCCCGGGCTTGGATTCTCAAGTGTCAGTCCTATTTTAGGTTAATGCCTAATATTTCAGATTCACAAAAAGTTAACCTAGCTGCTATGCACTTTGATGGGAAAGCTGCCCAATGGTTTCAAAATTTCTCACATAAACGGAGGAACTTAATTGGTCACAATTTTTGGAAATTATATCTGCTAGGTTTGAAGCTTTAAAAGAAGCAAAAATCATTGCTGAATTCAATAAACTCAAGCATATTGGTTCCTACATTGAATACGTGGACAAATTTGAGGAGCTTAGAGCATGCATGTTGTTATTAAACAGTGGTGGGTATTCAGAGGAGTACTTTATAACAAGTTTCATCAGTGGCCTTAGTGAAGAATTGCAGGCTTTCATACAGATGTTTGAACCATGTACACTACAGCAAACCATTGATCTGGGCTAAAGGCAGCTTACTACTCTTGAGGCACTGACTAAAAAACTGAAACCAGTGGGGAGGCCAAACTTGGGTTTCACATCTTATCCAAAGAGGCAGGAAAAGTTTTCTACACCAAACAACCAGAACACCCCCAGGAACTTAAACAGCTACCCTCAGCCTAATTTCAAATTGCTCACATCCTCAAAAATGGCAGCTCGAAGGGAAAAAGGCCTTCGCTACAATTGTGATGAACGGTTTACTAGGGGCCACAGATGCAAAAATAGGGTGACTTATATGATGATGAGTGAAGAAGAGGAATCTTTGTATTATAATGATTCTGGGGGACAACCATTGGAACCAATGGAGGATGACCCGGTGGAAGAGATACAAGTTACCTTGCATGCAGTATCTGGGGAAAATAGTATCACCACCATGAAGCTCTTTGGCACTGTGGGTTCAGACAGACTACAAATTCTAATTGATACTGGGAGCACCATCAGCTTTATCCAAGAATCTGTGGCAAGGAAACTGGGATGCCAACTGGAAATGGCCAAACCCATTATGGTCAGGGTTGCTAATGGGAACAAGATGGTTAGTTCTAGCAAGGTTACTGGATTCAAGTGGAAAATGCAGGGTCACTCTTTTAAATTTTCACCCCGGGTCCTAGATAATGTGGGTTGTGATCTAATACTTGGAGGGGATTGGCTCAAGTCTTGCACTCCTATTGAGTTGGACTATGAAAACATGACATTTACAGTCACTCTTGGGGGAAAGAAAATTAAAATCCAGGCTCTAACATCAGACATAGATTGCCAACTCATTTCAGGACCTGCCCTATACAAAATGATGCATTATGAAATGCCTTCACAGGTGAAAGAGATGTTCTGGGTAAAATTTCCACAAAAGGAAGGCACTCATAACCACAAGCTTCATGACTTACTGGAGGAATATTCAGATATTTTTGAAGAACCTTAGGGGTTACCTCCTGTAAAGTATGCTTGTTTGTAGTTTATCCCAAGTAATGTGCCCTTGAATTCCAAATCTTATTTCGTAAAATGTAAGATGAGGTATTTGACAAAACAATATCTAGTTTAAAATACACATATAATTATCCTAGTTAACAACTCTATCACATGTTATACTTTGCGTAACCTGTAAAATTTATCATACAATATCCAGTTTAGAATACACATACAATATGTTGTAACCAGGAAAATTTATCATATAAAATGATGACGATGAGACGCAAAAAGGCAACATCCGCAAAAGGAACAAAAGCATGTGGATAGGATTAATCATTTAAAGGCCGAAAAGCTTTATGAAATGAGAGTGTAGAGAGAGAGGAGCAAAAGTTTCAGAACAAGGTTAATGGGCACCAGTTAATAGTTAATATTAATTGCCAATATTTCTTTCTCAAGATTTCCTGTTTAGACCATGAAAGAAACGATGTTTTCTGCTCTTAGTGTGCTTCCGGGAAGCTCTTGAGACAACATATGGAACAAGTTGTACCTACAGAGGATCAATAATGTTTTACTCACTATAGATCGATATGGAACAAACTTAAGATCAACTAGTGTATTGTTGCTGAATCAGTTCTAAATTTTAGCTTTAGTGTCATCAGCCATGTAAGATTCTACAAAAAAGCAACATGCAGAAAGCTTATAATTTTCTCGAAGAAAATGTAGAATAAAAAATCATAAAATAACATACTTGAGAATTGTTCCTCAGGCCGTAATCGTGAAGTGAAGCATTGTCATCGAGTAGCTTCTCGTTGTGGCATGAAAGGCAGAAGTTTGCCCACACATGCTTCCTGCAAAACCAAAGAAGGCATTTTTCTCAGTTTTTTCAGGAACATCTACTACACGTTGGCATAATTCCATTTTTGTTTCCATTATAGTTGTATCTAAATTCCAAAATCTTTTTCTCTTCACATTCGACAAGGAGAAAAGCGACAACATTACACAACAATTACAACACTGAACTGCAGGATATGTCCCAATGAAAAAAAAAAATGCACATTCAGAAAAATACCAAGAAATATGCCGATGACCCATGCTCGACTCCTCCGCATCATTCACCTTCTTATTAATCGTCAATTTCAAGTCCTTCACGGTTGCAGAATTCATCAACAAGACCTCTTCAACCCTCACAAAATTAAACAAAGATCAAAACCAATATCTCTACATTTGGCGCTCACAAGGTGTTTGTGAAAATGAAAAGCAGAAAAAACTTAAGATGAAGTAGTGTGTACCAAAGGATGTGCCGTCTAATTTGAGGATTGTGATGCGCATGGCGCTGCCAAGCTCCAAGCAGATGAGAGTGTCCACATCGGAAAGAGAAAGCTTCTTGGGCACGTCGAAAAGAATCGAATCGCCGAGAAGCGCCGCCAAAGTTGATTCTAATCTAGCTTTCTTTATGCTGCTGCTGTTGTACTCCGGCGCGCTGTGCTGGTTCCGGATTCCTCTCTTTCTGCTTTATTACTTTGCGTACATTCATCCATCTGTAGTGGATCCTTGCTAATTGATGTATTTTACCAAATAGATAATTACTGTAATTTAGATAGCTTGAGGAAGAAGGTGATAGGGAGAGTAGAAAGGGAGGGATAACAGAAAAGAGAGAGAAAGACTATTTTTTCTTGTTGCATTTCTGCCTCAAAGTGGCACGTTAAATACAATGATGGTGGTCCCCACCATAAACAACTTGCATTGGTTCTTTTCCCAAAGGCAAATAACTAAAGTAAAATGAAATACAATTAAACGTAAAAAATATGCTAAATGAACGATCCAGATTTCCTCCTTCAAACTTTGATCAAATGCTCCTGCTTGTGCCACATGTCGATCCTCTTTTATCAACAAAACCAAAATCGGGAACTTCACTTTCCATTTCCTTTTTCAGATCCCCTTTTGCCTGAACCCTAATTTTTTTAATCTCTCTGTCGTCCTTGTCATTTCCTTCAAAATCTCCCGAAATCACTACAATACCGCCCCCTTTTTGAGATCCTTGTCCACAAGGATCAAACTTTTTGAACTTCCGGCGGAGAAAGGTGTCATCTTCCCATGTAGCGTGAGTCTGATCTCCCGGAATCCACTGAATAAGGGTTTGCGAGATCTCAGCTTTTCCACGGCGGACATTTCGGTGGTCAAGAATCGCGATGGGGTGAGCAAGGAATTCGACCATCGCCATCTGTCGGAGGAAACTCAGTAGACGCGACAGCAGGCGGCTTCAGACAACTTTTTAAGAGAGAAACGTGAAACACTGGGTGAATGCGTGATGTGTCCGGTAAATCTAAATGGTAAACCACTTCTCCAACTTTAGCTAGAATTTGAAAAGGACCAAAAAATCTAGCAGATAACTTGATGTTTTTGCGTATGGCGATTGAGTTCTGTCGAAAAGGTTGCAGCTTTAGATAGACCCAGTCGCCTACAGCAAATTGCTTGTCCTTCCTGCTTTTATCTGCATATTGTTTCATTCGATGTTGGGCTTTAATTAAATTCTCCTTGAGGTCTTGTAATATATGCTTTCTCTGGGTAAAAAACTCAGTTACTTCTGAATTTGTGGGCTGTATATAGGGATCTAAGGATAAGAATGGGGGTGGGTATCCATATAAGGCCTCAAAAGGGGTACATTTTAGGCTTGTGTGAAAGCTAGTGTTGTACCAAAATTCTGCCAGGGGTAGCCACTTAGCCCATTGTTTAGGATTATCAAACACCATGCTCCTCAAATAATTCTCCAAGCATTGGTTCAATCTCTCGGTTTGCCCATCTGATTGGGGGTGATAAGCTGATGAGAGGGCCAATTGTGTTCCCATGAGTTTGAATAATTCTTGCCAAAAAGTGCTTGTAAAAACCTTGTCCCTATCTGAGATGATATTGATAGGCTGCCCATGTAATTTGTAGACTGTGTCCAAAAAATGTTTGGCAACAGTGGTAGCTGTAAAGGGGTATGATAGGGAAATGAAATGGCCATACTTGGTCAGTCTGTCTACCACTACCAAAATCACATCCTTTCCATAGATTTAGGAAGCCCCTCAACAAAATCCATGGAGATATGTGTCCAAGCCTAATTAGGAATAGGCAGAGGTTGTAGAAGGCCTGTATATTTCCCACAATCTGGTTTAACCTTAGCACATACATCACATGCCTTGACTCATTCTGCCACTTCCTTCTTGAGATTTGCCCAAAAAAAAATTCTTTTGATTCTCAAGTAGGTGGCCTGTGTACCTGAATGCCCTCCAATAGCTGAGTTATGCAATTCAGAAAGGATTGACTTCCTTAGGGATTCATCACTGCCTATGACCAGTCTGCCTTTATAAATTAGCACATCCCCCAAAAGCTCATAATCAGGGTATGAAGTAGGGTCCACTGTCTTACTCTGTATGATCTGTTTAATATGATCATCTAGAGAATAGCTTAATGAGACTTGTTGCACCCACTTGGGTAGAATAGTTGTGATTGCCTGGCAGTCCTCATCCACCCCACTCCTAGAAAAAGCATCTGCTCCTTTGTTTTCCACTCCCTTTTTATACTGAATCTCATATTGGAAACCCAATAATTTAGCAATCCACTTTTGTTGCATATGAGAGACCACTTTCTGATCTAGTAAGTGCTTAAGGGCTTGCTGGTCTGTTTTAATGATAAATTTGTAGCCCAACAGATAGTGCCTCCATTTCTGAATAGCCATTAAAATAGCTGAGAACTCTCTTTCATAAATAGAAAGTGCATGGTTCTTGGGACTTAGGGTCTTACTCATGTATGCAATTGGTCTACCTTGCTGCATTAGGACTGCTCCTACCTCTTAGCCACTTGCATCAGTTTCCAAAATAAATGGTTTGGAAAAATCAGGTAGAGCTAAGACAGGAGTGCTAACCATGGCAACTTTGAGTTGATTGAAAGCTATTGTGGCCTCTTGACTCCAAACAAATGCCCCTTTTTTTAGTAGGTTAGTCAAAGGTCTACTCATAATGCCATAACCCTTAATAAACCTCCTGTAATAACCTGTCAAGCCTAGAAACCACCTTAGCTGCTTAAGAGTTTTTGGTAATGGCCATTGTACCATGGCAGTAATCTTGTTAGGGTCTGTGGCAACTCCAGATTTTGATATAAGATGCCCCAAGTATTCCACTTGTTCCTGCCCAAATTGACACTTACTCCTCTTTGCATATAAATGATTGCCCCTTAGAATGGACAAGACCTCCCTCAAGTGTTTCATATGCTCATCCCAGCTTTTGCTATAAACAAGAATGTCATCAAAGAACACTAGCACTGTCTTCCTTAGCTGAGAATAGAAAACCTGATTCATAAGAGATTGAAAGGTAGCAGGGGCATTACACAGCCCAAAAGGCATGACCAAAAATTCAAACTGCCCATGGTGTGTGTTAAAAGTTGTCAGGTGTCTGTCCTCTGGCTTCATTAGAATCTGAAAATACCCAGACCTGAGATTAATCTTAGAGAAAAACTGAGCACCCTGTAGCTCATCTAACAGCTCATCAATGATGGGGATTGGGAAGTCATGCTTAATGGTGTGACTGTTCAGGTATCTGTAGTCCACACATATCCCCCATGAGGAATCCTTCTTCTTTACTAGGATAACAAGAGATGCAAAAGGACTGTTGCTAACCTGTATCAGTCCTGACCTCAACATTTCCTCTACAATCTTCTCTATTTCAGCCTTTTGGTTGTGTGAAACACTATAAGGGTGTTGATGTTTAGGCAAGTTGTTATCCTTGAGCACAATTTGATGTTCAACCCCCCTTACAGGAGGTAACCCCTAAGGTTCTTCAAAAATATATGAATATTCCTTCAGTAAGTCATGAAGCTTGTGGTTATGAGTGCCTTCCTTTTGTGGAAATTTTACCCAGAATATCTCTTCCACCTGTGAAGGCATTTCATAATGCATCATTTTGTATAGGGCAGGTCCTGAAATGAGTTGGCAATCTATGCCTGATGTTAGAGCCTGGATTTTAATTTCTTTCCCCCAAGAGTGACTGTAAATGTCATGTTTTCATAGTCCAACTCAGTAGGAGTGCAAGACTTGAGCCAATCCCCTCCAAGTATTAGATCACAACCCACATTATCTAGGACCCGGGGTGAAAATTTAAAAGAGTGACCCTGCATTTTCCACTTGAATCCAGTAACCTTGCTAGAACTAACCATCTTGTTCCCATTAGCAACCCTGACCATAATGGGTTTGGCCATCTCCAGTTGGCATCCCAGTTTCCTTGCCACAGATTCTTGAATAAAGCTGATGGTGCTCCCAGTATCAATTAGAATTTGTAGTTTGTCTGAACCCACAGTGCCAAAGAGCTTCATGGTGGTGATACTATTTTCCCCAGACACTGCATGCAAGGTAACTTGTATCTCTTCCACCGGGTCATCCTCCATTGGTTCCAATGGTTGTCCCCCAGAATCATTATAATACAAAGATTCCTCTTCTTCACTCATCATCATATAAGTCACCCTATTTTTGCATCTGTGGCCCCTAGTAAACTGTTCATCACAATTGTAGCAAAGGCCTTTTTCCCTTCGAGCTGCCATTTCTGAGGATGTGAGCAATTTGAAATTAGGCTGAGGGTAGCTGTTTAAGTTCCTGGGGGTGTTCTGGTTGTTTGGTGTAGAAAAATTTTCCTGCCTCTTTGGATAAGATGTGAAACCCAAGTTTGGCCTCCCCACTGGTTTCAGTTTTTTAGTCAGTGCCTCAAGAGTAGTAAGCTGCCTTTAGCCTAGATCAATGGTTTGCTGTAGTGTAGATGGTTCAAACATCTATATGAAAGCCTGCAATTCTTCACTAAGGCCACTGATGAAACTTGCTATAAAGTACTCCTCTGAATACCCACCACTGTTTAATAACAACATGCATGTTCTAAGCTCCTCAAATTTGTCCACATATTCAATGTAGAACCAGTATGCTTGAGTTTATTTAATTCAGCAATGATTTTTGCTTCTTTTAAAGCTTCAAACCTAGCAGATATAATTTCCAGAAACTGTGACCAATTAAGTTCCTCCTGTTTGTGTGAGAAATTTTGAAACCATTGGGCAGCTTTCCCATCAAAGTGCATAGCAGCTAGGTTAACTTTCTGTGAATCTGAAATATTAGGCATTAACCTAAAATAGGACTGACACTTGAGAATCCAAGCCCGGGGTTGAGGGCCATCAAACTTTGGGAATTCAATTCTGGGAAGTGGGCTAATGATGTTGTGTGTAGGAACTTCATACTACAATTTGTTCCTCTGTGTGTTTTGGAAATTTGATCCATGGTGTTCCCCCAAAATGGATTCCTCGTGTGGTGGATTTCCCTTTGGATTTAGGATCTGCAGCTGAATTGCAGCCAGTGTATCAGCGAGATGATCTAAGCGGCTGCTGAAACCTGTGTTCATGTCATTTATTTGATCCTGCATCTTCATTTCTGCTGCATCTCGTTTTAGGCTCTCTGTTTACAGGATGCTATCTAATTTTCTCTGGCTTCTTGCAGGTCTTTGAATCGAGTTGCTTCTGCCATTTTTTTGATGCAGATCAGTGGCTCTGGTTACCAATTGTAGTGGATCCTTGCTAACTGATAAATTTTACCAAATAGATAATTACTGTAATTTAGATAGCTTGAGGAAGAAAGTGATAGGGAGAGTAGAAAGGGAGGGATAACAGAAAAGAG